TGATGAACCGCATTAGCGCGCCACGTTATCGCTGCCACGCGGTAATTGGCCACAAGGGCCGCGCCGAGTGAGAGATGAGCGGCTGGACCCGAGGCGCATATGGAGACATACGATGGGGCCGCGAGTGGAGCCACAGGTGGGAGGGCGAATGGAGGCGCACTTGGAGGCACGCGTGGGGAGGAGCGGGTGGAGGCACGGGTGAAGACGCGGATGGAGCCACGGGTGGAGGCGCGGACGTAGCCACGAGTGGAGGAGCCGATGGGGCCACGGATGGAGGCACGGGTGCGGAGGAGCGGGTTCAGGCACGGGTTTTGGCACGGGTGGAGGTTACGGGTTGGAGGAGGGAGTGGAGGCACGGATGGAGGAGCACGTGGAGAGATGGGGTGGGGAGACGGCGGAGGCACGGGTGGAGGCGCGGGTGGAGGCGCACGTGGAGAGATGGGTGGGGTGGAGGCGGCGGAGGCACGGGTGGAGGGCTCGCGCAGGGCAGTCGGCGTGGCGCGGATGCTTCGCCAGCTGGGGGCTCCGCGCGCATGCGTGCGGCCATAGCTTGCAAGTCCGTGCCAGATCTGACTATCCCACCCCGCCCCCCCCCCTCCCCCAATATCACCCCCATCCCTTCCCCTCCAACTAATCTCGCAAGTAGTCCCGCAGGAACCCGTAGGCGCCTGGACAACGCGTTCCCTCTCACGTGACGCGCCGTGAAATATGTCGAATGCATCAGATAGCAAGCGGCGGCGGGGATTCCAAGAGACGCATCGCGGCACGCCGCAGAGCTAATGTCTGGGAGACTCGGATCCAGCGTCGTTTGTTGTTGCTGTTGTTGTTATTGCTGTTGATGGAACAAACGCGCCTCGTTCGTGATGTCTGCACGTTAATGGAACAGTCGCTGGCCTTGGACGCTTTAAAGTTCAAAGTCGATCACGGGTTTAAGGCTTTTTGAGGGCTGCAATTTCCTCGCTCTCGAGGTTTTTTTGTTTCTTTGGGGAAATAAAAGCCTGGCGGTCCCGCCCGGCCTCGCCCGGCCTTGCCCGGTCCTGCTCTGCCCGGCCCTGCCAGGCCCCGCCCGGCCCTGCCAGGCCCTGCCAGGCCCTGCGAGGGACGAGGCTCAGGGCCCCCTCCGGGCGCTGCAACCCGGCGCAGAGGCGGCTCGCACGGAGCCTCGCGGCGCTTATCGAGATCCGGCATCTCTGCAATCGCCGCGAGGTGGTGGGGCGTGGGGGGAGGGAGATGTTTTTGTTTGTTGCCACACAGGAACTCAGACGCGTCCGCAATAAACAGTCTGGAGATCGCTGTCGGCGAGAAGCGCCAAATGGCTTTACGACCCCCCTGTCTAGACGGTTCAAGGTGTCTTCCATTGCCACGCCGTCACGGCCCGTTAGCCATTACAGCCTCGCCGCTCGCTGCACGGCGAATAACGGCGCAGCGATATGAAGCAGCGTCGATCGTGCCGATATAAATGTTGCCCCCCCCTCCACGTCGCCCCCACCCTCTGCCCCCCCCCACACCTTCTGCAGCCATTGCGTTTGGACACCCGGCGTAAGGATGACCCACGATTGATGGCTCCAAGAGCCCCGCGTCGCTGTCAGTTTCGCTTCGCTTCTGTCGTGCCTCGACGGGCTCCGTAGAGCGCCGGGGAGGCTAAGGGGTTTGCTTCCGTGGTGGAGGGGAGCCGCCGGGTGGTTGGTGGTGTGGGACGGCGGTGGGACGGGCTCGTAATTAAGCGGCCCGTGGCTCTCTCGGGGGAGCGAGCTCGCCTCGCCCTGAGCGGCCCACGGACCTTCGCGGGGGTAGCGCGCGGCCTTCCGTGTGTGGCGAGGCCTCGGTTGCTGCACGGGGAGAGAGGAGGAGGAAGAAGAGGCGTCACGCCATCCGTGTTGCCGTCCCGTGCGCGCGCGCGCGCGGCGTCCAGCGGATTCGCGCGGGGAGCTGTTTCTGCCCGAGGCTGAGTTAGTGCGTGCGCCTAAGTGGATGCGCATTAGCATCCATCATTTATAACCACGCGACCATTGGGCGCGATTATCTTTGTTGTGGCGTGAAGGCTCACGCACGCGCGCACACACGCGCACACAACGTGTTGCTTGCTACGCGCGCCGCTCGTTCTCCTGTAGCACCGACGACGTGTCAGAAAGAGGCCGCTGTGGTGATTGCGGAGCGGTGGCGTAGGGGTTAGCGCGACTCTGCGCTAGGAACAACGGCGACCCCGAGCGACCAACGCCGGTGACGATTTTCTGAACCGGTCCTGGGCCTCCCCTGGGTCGACTCGGCCTCAAATGAGTACCCGGTGCGGTGTGTAAACATCGTCACTCTGGGGAGCGGGGCGGGGGGGGGCGACAAAGGCGGCCGGGCGTGGTTACTGGCCACCCACCCACCCCCTCGTGTGCTACAGTGCCGGTAGCCTTCATAGGTGCTGCTCGTCGCTAAAACAGCGTGTGGCCCCGAACAGCCCGCTACAGGCTACGCGCTGGGGGATCCTTCGACTTTGTCTTTTTGTTTGTTGGTAGCAATCCGCTAGCCACGCGTTGCGATGGTGCGCGCACCCCCCCCCCCCCCCCCTTATGGACGCTGTCGCAAAAATATCGAGAGACCGTTGTGGTCACAAGACGTCGGAAAGCCAGGGGTGGGGGCTATTAAGGCGGAAAGGCTTTGCACGTTGTGAATTGGTTACGCGCGACGTGGCCAGCATTCCAACATATATTGCAGTTTTAACTCCGATGCGACTGTGTGCGTATACAGAGAGAGAGAGATGCACGCATTCACATTCACGAAATGTAAATACATGTATAAATGTGTGTGTGCGTACTTCGTAGGTGTGCTCGCTAAAACAGCACTTGCCCCAACAGTCCGTTAGGGCTATGCGAGGGAATCATTGTATTTGACAAAACACGTCCGCAGACATACACGCGAAGTGCATGTCATAATTATTAATAATGATGAATGTCTACACACATGTATGAATACTAATGCTGTCCATGTGATGAATCCATACGCTCTTGTACTTGTTACATGTATATTGCAATGCACCGTATATGTGTAGGTATTGTGTATGTGAGGGATGTCGCAGGCCTAGGTATTCCCCACCTCCGATTAGCACGGGTTGGCTGCGTTGGCTACGTACGGTGCGAAAGAAATTCTACAGGCGGAGATTTATTGCTAAAGTCCAAATGTATTACCATGGGCGATGTAGAACCAAAAAAATGATGCACTCGGAAATCCACGTCGCGTCTGCTCGTCACCGGCACACGGACATTGCATCGCCTTTATAGCTGAGATAGGTACACACCCGTGCAGCTACAAACATCGCTCAGTACGCGATCTGCATGCACGCACAAGTACGAGTGCATATCATCATTATTATCGTCGTGCGCAATCATGCAGTTGAGTATATTTAGGGTACTGCATTATCTATATATACACACATGTGCGCGGTATATACGTATGTATATGTATATGATGGGGAGCGGTGGTGTAGTGGTTAGCTCGTTGCGCGAAAGAACCCGGCGACTCGAGTTCGATTCCCGCTCACGGCCAACGGCAGTGACGATGATCTGACACGGCCCTGGGGCCTCCCCTTGGTCGACTCAGCCTCGAGTGAATATCCGGTGCGGGTTTGTAAACATCGCCACGAGGGAAGACAGACGACCGGGGCGTGGTTGCTGGCCCACACACTCCCTCGTGTGCCGCACAGGGCATCCCATAGGTGCTCGCTAACAGCACTCATCCCCCACCAGTTTGTCAAGGTTATACGGGGGATCTATGTCTGTCGGGAGGGGGGGTATTCTTTGCGGTTACCTCGCTGCGCTACGAACCCGGCCACCCGAGTTCGAGTCCCGCTCAAGGCCACCAACACCAGTGACGATTGTCTGAACTGACTCCCGGTGGGCCTATGCGAGATGGGACGAGCGAGATGGGACGAGCGAGATGGGACGAGCGAGATGGGACGAGCGAGATGGGACGAGCGAGATGGGACGAGCGAGATGGGACGATTCCCGCGTCGCGGACCGCGAACTTTTCTCTCTGTTCCGGGTGGCGTCCGCACTTTCCAACGCGCTGCCGTTTGTGGCGGCGCGCCACGGTTGGAATTCCTCCGCGGCAGATTAATCGACGACCGCCCAGTGTCATCGAGGACATCGATCCGAGGGTTCGGAAATCGACGTCACTCGTCGAGAGCGATGGCTCCGGCGTCTCCCGTCGTCAAGTTCGTGCGCGCGTTAACTCCCCCCGAGTCTCGCGGGGGGGGGGGTGAGTGGGCGGGGGGGGGCCATTAATAAATAAAACCACATTCACAGCGCGCGCTTGCTTTTACCATTGTTCGGTTTATTTGTTATTAAGATTAATGTTTGTCTCAAAAGTCTCGTGAATATGGGCGACATATATTATAATGTGTAAAGAGCGTAACACGATTACAAAAGACGGCAAAAGAGACAACTTACATCCGCGTTCGGAGACCAATTAGAATGCTAATTTGTACAATTTCCGGACCATTGATTTTACCTTTTTTCGATGTACAGGCTAAAAAGTGAGAGCTTTAAATGCATAAAACCACTATACACGAGTTCAAAAAATGCGCCTCCGGATAAAATAATCGTTGGAAGTTTACAGCTCCCACTTAATTATATTTGGTTTTCAACAGAGTAAAATAGTGTCCGTGGTCAGTGTTCATGATCACTTTACAAGAGCGCACACTCCAACCCAGCAGCACACACGTCGTATACGGATTACATTAACCCCCCCCCCTCCACCACATTAAATTCGTATATACACACCAATAACCGTTATTAATTTGCGTTGATGTAAGGAAAAAGAGAAAAGCTATATATATACGCAGACACGGACGGCGCCCTCATGATATGCTGTGCAATGGCTCGTTCAGACCTCGCGTCGCATTCCCTGTGGCTGCAGCTCACGAGGTAGCGGTGCCAACTCTTCACGACTCACCCCTTCAGCCCCCCCCCCACGATTCTCCTCCGAACCCCCCCCCCCCAGTCCTCTGCCACGTCTCAAAAGAGATGCGTGGCCGTGTAGTAGTGAAGGCGATCTCGGTTCAGCTTCTTCTCCTTCATCCGCCGGTTCTGGAACCAGATCTTGACTTGGCGGTCGGTGAGGTTGAGGAGGCGCGACAGTTGCAGGCGCTTCTCCTTGTTGATGTAGACGTTGAAGAAGAACTCTCGCTCCAGCTCGCGGATCTGGAACTTGGTGTAGGGGCAGCGCTTCTTGCGGCTCCGCTGGACAGCTGCGCCTTAACAAGAAACGGGAGCCGCCCGCGTTAGATGTGGTTCGAGCGAGCGAGTAAGCGAGCGACTCCCTTCATCCATCCAGCCCCCCCTCCCTGCCCCGTGAGCCCGCGTTAAGATTGGGAGCTTTCATATGATATTATATTGTGTGTGTGAAGTGGACGAATGCAGAACGCTAATGCGTGGATATAACATAAATCTTGACCCCTACGCGGAGACCGGTTGAGCGTGTAAACACGGAGCAGAGGGCCCGTGTGACTTCGCCCGATACGGTTGTATACATTTAAAACCAGTGACCGTATAATTTAACTAGAATTTGGAGTGTATAATCCCGCTGTAATTTATTGTATAATATTATTGAATAGGCGTGTGCTTGCGTCTTTTTTACTTTACACTTCCAGCGACTGTAAATCATTTTATTATGTCTATAACTGCGTTTTATATACTGGTCAATGGCGGCATTGTTAACATTTTACAACATAATTTCGTATAAACGTATTTACAGGCCAAATAAAGTTAGCGAGGTATATTTTTTTTCTCTCTCCCTCTCTCTCGTCCTCTTTCCCCGCGTGCCCCTCGACCCCTCGGTATCGGCGGCCGTGGCGGCAGAGCGGGGAGATCGCACAGGGACCCGAAGCGCACGCAGCCGGGCAAACAACATGGGGAGCCGAGCCTCTGTCCAATAAACACGCCCGTGCGTGTGGAGCGAGCGGTATGTGTGTGTGTACACGTGTGGAGCGAGCGGTGTGTTTGTGTGTACACGTGTGGAGAGAGCGGTGTGTGTGTGTGTACACGTGTGGAGCGAGCGGTGTGTGTGTGTACACGTGTGGAGCGAGCGGTGTGTTTGTGTGTACACGTGTGGAGAGAGCGGTGTGTGTGTGTGTGTACACGTGTGGAGCGAGCGGTGTGTGTGTACACGTGTGGAGAGAGCGGTGTGTGTACACGTGTGGGGAGAGCGGTGTGTGTGTGTGTACAGGTGTGGAGAGAGCGGTGTGTGTGTACACGTGTGGAGAGAGCGGTGTGTGTGTGTGTACACGTTGGAGAGAGCGGTGTTTGTGTGTACACGGTGTGGAGCGAGCGGTGTTGTGTGTGTACACGTGTGGGACGAGCGGTATGTGTGTGTACACGTGTGGAACGAGCGGTGTGTTTGGTGTACACGGGTGGAGAGAGCGGTGTGTGTGTGTGTACACGTGTGGAGAGAGCGGTGTGTGTGTGTGTACACGTGTGGGACGAGCGGTGTGTGTGTATGTACACGTGTGGAGAGAGCAGTGTGTGTGTACACGTGTGGAGAGAGCAGTGTGTGTGTGTGTGTACACGTGTGGAGAGAGCGGTGTGTGTGTGTGTACACGTGTGGAGAGAGCGGTGTGTGTGTACACGTGTGGAGCGAGCGGTATGTGTGTACACGTTGTGGAGCGAGCGGTGTGTGTGTACACGTGTGGAGAGAGCAGTGTGTGTGTGTACACGTGTGGAGCGAGCGGTGTGTGTGTGTACACGTGTGGAGAGAGCAGTGTGTGTGTGTGTACACGTGTGGAGAGAGCGGTGTGTGTGTGTGTACACGTGTGGAGAGAGCGGTGTGTGTGTACACGTGTGGAGCGAGCGGTGTGTGTGTGTGTACACGTGTGGAGCGAGCGGTGTGTGTGCACACGTGTGGAGCGAGCGGTGTGTCCGCGGCAAGGCAAGCCGTGGGTTGCGTGCGCGCGCGCGCGCGCCTGTGGCGTCAAGCGAGCGGCGCGCGCGTGATGGAATCCACGGCGGGTCCCGTACCGGAGCTGCCGCCCGGCTTCTCGGTTCCTCCGCCGCCGCCGCCGCCGCCGCCGCCGCCGCACGACAACTCCGCGTCTCCCGCCCTCGCCTCGGCGTCCGCGTCCCTGGGAGACTGCGTCGCCTTGGGCTGCTGCTGTTGCTGCCGCCGCTGCTGCTCCGATTTCTCTCCGCGCTTCCTCGCTCCCCGCCGCAAACGTCGCCGCCCTCCGACGAATTCTCCAGCAGGAACTGATCGAAGGCCTGCGGCAGCACGCCCGTCCTGCCGACCTTACCGCCGTAAAAATTATACGAGGTGTTGGCGCTCCCGTAACGCGCCTGGCTATAAGCCGCGGTCTCGGCCGCTCTTCATGAGCATGGCTGCCGACAGGCAGTCGCGGTAGGCGGCCGAAGAGTCCCCGCCGCAACACGCGCCCAGGTTGGCGGCCCCAGCGTGCCACTTGCTCGGGTACTGGCGCAGCGACGTGGGGCCCGGCTCCCCGCGGCACACGGACCCCGCGGGGATCGGACTCTGCGTGAAGACGTGCGGCCCCGAGCCCTGCGGTGGCGGCGGAGGCGGAGGAGGAGGAGGAGGAGGGGGCTGCAGGAACGAGGTCTGAACCCCGGAGAAGTCCCTGCCGGGCACGTAGTAGGCGCAGCTGGGCAGGAAGGCGTTGGCCGAGGCGAACGAGGCGGCGTCCGCTGAAGTCGGTCATGCCGTCCTTGTGAAAGCGCGGCAGCGGGCGGGAGAGACTCATGGAGCTGTACATCCTGTGCCCATGCCGGCCGCGCGCAACACTGGAGCAGCCGAGAGCCGCGGAGCGCGAGGATCCGCGTCGGCGCGCAGGGTTACACGGCCGCGTCACGTGACCGCATAAATAAGGAAAACATCAATTTTTGTGGGCATGAAATACAGTGCGCGCAACAAGGGTTGTTTACTTTGCTTGGACACGAAACCGACTGACCGTCCGTCCGCCCTGCGCGCGGGGCGACACGCGGGGCGACTGCTCTCTAGTTGGACCCCCGAGGAGCGGGGAGCTGTGCACGCGCCCCGCCTCCCTCCCCGGGACCACGAGGAGCCTCCTGGCCGCGACGCTGAAGCGACGCGCGCCGCGATTCCCCTGGAACAGCTTCCCCCCCCCCCCCCTTCCCTCGCCTGGGCCGCGCCCCTTTACACCACGACCACCACCACCCCCCGTGCCCCCCACCGGAGCCGCTCAGGTGTGCACACCTGAGTGGCTCGAAACCAATAGCCCGACTGGCTCCTATAATGAAAATGAAATGCGAGAAAACTAGTGTTTTTTTTAAACATATATACAGTATATAGAGCTGTTCTTCTTCATCACATTTCCTAACGAGCTAAGGGCGTCGACTTCAGGCCACTTGGGCGTCTTACTCAGTGCACGGCGAGCAGACGACCGCGTGTCCTCCTCGCCTGGCACCCAACGAGCCGGCCTCGCGTCGTCTGCGTGACCGCGGCAGAGCGGCACTGCGGCGCTCACGACTTCGGGTTGGCGCTGCTGTCGCCTGTGAACTCCGCGATGCTTCTGACCTGAAGCCCCTGCAGCCTCAAGCAGAGAGGCACCGCGAAGGAACGGCGGCGCCTCTCGAGACGGCGGTGACCTTCACGATCAGAGTTCAAGCCCCCGGCTGCAGCGGTGTGAGCCTCGGCGCAATACAGACGGTACAACACAGTTGATACAACACAGTTGGTACAACACAGTTGATACAACACAGACGGTACAACACAGTTGATACAACACAGTTGATACAACACAGACGGTACAACAAAGTTGATACAACACAGACGGTCCAACACAGTTGATACAACACAGTTGGTACAACACAGTTGATACAACACAGACGGTACAACACAGTTGATACAACACAGTTGATACAACACAGACGGTACAACAAAGTTGATACAACACAGACGGTACAACACAGTTGATACAACACAGTTGATACAACACAGTTGATACAACACAGACGGTACAACAAAGTTGATACAACACAGTTGGTACAACACAGTTGGTACAACACAGTTGATACAACACAGACGGTACAACACAGTTGATACAACACAGTTCATACAACACAGTTGATACAACACAGTTGGTACAACACAGTTGATACAACACAGTTGATACAACACAGTTGATACAACACAGACGGTACAACACAGTTGATACAACACAGTTGGTACAACACAGTTGATACAACACAGACGATACAACACAGTTTATACAACACAGTTGATACAACACAGCTGGTACAACACAGCTGATACAACAAAGTTGATACAACAAAGTTAATACGACACAGTTGATACAACAGAGGTGATACAACACAGTTGATACAACAGAGTTGATACAACGCAGTTGGTACAACACAGTTGATACAACACAGTTGGTACAACACAGTTGATACAACACAGTTGATACAACACAGACGGTACAACACAGTTGATACAACACAGTTGATACAACAAAGTTGATACAACACAGACGGTCCAACACAGTTGATACAACACAGTTGGTACAACACAGTTGATACAACACAGACGATACAACACAGTTGATACAACACAGTTGATACAATACAGACGGTAAAACACAGTTGATACAACACAGTTGGTACAACCCAGTTGATACAATACAGCTGGTGCAACACAGCTGATACAACAAAGTTGATACAACAAAGTTAATACAACACAGTTGATACAACACAGTTGATTCAACACAGTTGGTACAACACAGTTGATACAACACAGTTGGTACAACACAGTTGATACAACACAGTTGATACAACACAGACGGTACAACACAGTCGATACAACACAGTTGATACAACAAAGTTGATACAACACAGACGGTACAACACAGTTGATACAACACGGTTGATACAACACAGTTGATACAACACAGACGATACAACAAGTTGATACAACACAGTTGATACAACACAGACGGTGCAACAAAGTTGATACAACACAGTTCATACAACAAAGTTGATACAACAAAGTTTCTACAACAAAGTTGATACAACACAGTTGATACAACACAGCTGGTACAACACAGTTGATACAACAAAGTTGATACAACACAGACGGTACAACACAGTTGATACAACACGGTTGATACAACACAGTTGATACAACACAGCTGGTACAACACAGTTGATACAACACAGTTGATACAACACAGACGGTGCAACAAAGTTGATACAACACAGTTCATACAACAAAGTTGATACAACACAGTTGATACAACAAAGTTGATACAACACAGACGGTACAACACAGTTGATACAACACAGTTGATACCACACAGACGGTACAACACAGTTGATACAACACAGTTGATACAACAAAGTTAATACAACAAAGTTAATACAACACAGTTGATACAGCACAGTTGTTACAGCAGAGCTGATTCAATACAGTTGATACAACACAGCTGATACAACACAGTTGATACAACATAGTTAATACAACACAGCTGATGCAACAAATTTGATACAACACAGACGGTACAACACAGTTGATACAACAAAGTTGATACAACACAGCCGGTACAACACAGTTGATACAACACAGTTGATACAACACAGCTGATACAACACAGCTGATACAGCACAGTTGATACAGCACAGTTCATACAACAAGTTGATACAACACGGTTGATACAACGCGGTTGATACAACGCGGTTGATACAACGCGGTTGATATAGCGTGGCTGATACAACACGGCTGATAAAACGCGGCTGATACAACGCGGCTGATACAACGTGGTTGATACAGCACAGCTGATACAGCACAGCTGATACAACACAAACGGTACAACACAGCTGATACAACACAAACAGTACAACACAGCTGATACAACACAAACGGTACAACACAGTTGATACAACAAAGTTGATACAACGTAGCCGGTACAACAAAGTTGATACAACACAGTTCATACAACACAGTTAATACAACACAGTTGATACAACAAAGTTGATACAACACAGTTGATACAACACAGTTTATACAACACAGTTGATACAACAAAGTTAATACAACACAGTTGATACAACACAGTTCATACAACACAGCTGATACAGCTCAGCTGATACAACAACGTTGATACAACACACCCGAAACCATGAGCACATAAAATTCTAAAACTTGGGCAATGTTCCAACAATTAAAGAATAAGTGGAATTTAGCGAACCAGCCAATGGGCACCTTCGCCCAATATATCCAAGCGACGCGCGTTTAATCTGCAGGTAAATTATGAAACCGGTTGCGACTTTCTTCAATGCCATCAGCAAATATGTGGCCTGCTAATTAATTAATGCTCAGAAAGGTTTACGGATATTTACTGGCGAGAGTTCTCCGTGACCACCCGTGCCCCCCCCCCCCTCCCCGTTTAGCACCACGGTGGCTAGGAGATGTTAACTACCTCGCCCGGTATGCAGAAGGTCGTGGGTTCGATCCCGACCCTGATGACGCCTGTTGTGTATTTGGAGTCTGCGTGTCTCCCCCCCCCACCCCTGGCTCCCCCGTGGTCGCGTGGATTTTTTCTATGGGTCCTCGGGTTTTCCCCTCCACATTTAGAATCAACATCACGCGTTTAGAGCAGTGGCTCTTAACCCGGGGTGCACGCGCCCCTTGGGGGTGGGTGATGCCCCTTTCTGAGAACCTGCAGTAAAGGTTAAGAACCATTTGTTTAGAGCATTTGGTTGCTATAAATGTCTACACGATGAGCCACTTCGTAGAGCTATCATTTGTGGCCAGGTCGCTTCTGAAAAAAAAAGAGAGCTACATAGGCCGGTGGGTCTTACCTGGTAAAATAAAATGAATAGTTTAATTAAGTTTGGCACAGTAGCGCCTCCACAGCAGAATTGTGCCGTACACAAAACTGACAGCGGGCACCGCCATAGTGCCGGTAACATCTGATTTATCCAGGCAAGGCCTCAGTCTCATCGCTATATTTTTTTATTTTTTCAGGAATGATGTGCGAACAATTCACTTTTTTCGGAGCGTTTTGCCTAGCAACACGGCAGACGCACGCACACAGCCAACACGGTCGCCTTGGCGCCCTGGTAAAGGCGTGCGAACACCTACAGATGGTTAAGGACCCCGCAACATTGGGCAAGGCCTACAAGAGGAACAACTGAATGATATAATAGCTTGTGTGTGTGTCTTGTGTATGATGGTAACAATGCGTCCTGGAGCTCAATGTCCATGTCGTGGACTGCTGGTCGCGACTCGGGGGGGGGGGGGCGGGGGGGCTCCAGGAGAGAGAGTGAGGGACAGAGTTCCTGGACGTTTTGCCTCTTCTCCTCCATTGAAAGAGCGCAGAATGCGGTGGTTTCCTACTCGGTGCCGTGGTGTTTGGGGTGTACGGCTTTACTCGCTCCCGCGGCTTGTCTTTTATACATCTGTACGCGCGCCTTCGATAGATCCCTACGTGTCTCGATGCGGCTTATTGTATAGCCCCGCGGTTTGGGCTGCGTGCTCACAATCGCACGACTGTGACACGTGTCGTCCCCAAGTTTCCGTTCACGAAAGGGGACGCGCGCATCGGCTTGTTGTTGGTGATGATGTTCTGATGCGGTTGACGGTTCCACTACCAAGCAGTCTTAAAGAGTACGACGTGAACCAGAAAAGTCAACACATTCGTCAATAACACTGCGGCCTTAGAGTGAAAAATGTGCATATAATGTGCCACGTTTCGAGCGATGGTCCTTCCTCATAGCACATAGAGCTCTTCATAGTTTTCTTTGAAGGAGGGCCATTGCCCGAAACGTCGCTTATTTTATATATATTCCTTTTAAGGCCGCAATGCTATTAACGAATGCTTCGAGGTTTATTCATGTTTTTTTTTTATTTTACTTGGGCAACCACTGCAGACGCAGTAGCAGCATCATCGCCACCAGATTACGTGTTTAGATGTGAAACATAGGTAGCGCTCCGAGTACATTCTACAAAATAGAAAATATTTTTAAAAATAACGTCTATCAGCTGTGCTCTACATGCTGTGTATGCGGCATATTTATGATATCATATACAAGTTGTA